GGCGACTTGATATTGTTCCAATAATTGCTCCAATGATGATGTTGAATTTAAACACCCATCAAAGTATGCACTCATGCTCTCACTTCTTTGAGTAGACAACATTCCATCCCAAAAAGTATCGTTCACAAGCAGCGGAATCCATTTTGGAGCCAATTAATACAACGCTTCCAACCATTCATTGTTCTTCAATGTGTTGCACAATTCATCAAACATATCATGACTCTCCAAATTTTGTGGCACCTTTTTCATAATTTGCCAAATACACCAACGATGCCTAGCATCGGGGAAAAAAAGTTCAATTGCTTTTCTCATACTTTGACATTGATCTGTTATCACCACAACCGTAGGTTACTTCATGCATTCTAACCATCTACTAAAGAGCCACACAAAATTTTATGTATCCTCCTTTCTCACAAGAGCACAACCAAATAATATTGATTGACCATGATGATTTATACCAACAAAGGGAGCTAATGGCTTGTTATACTTGTTCAACAAATATGTTGTGTCAAATGTAATTACATCCCCAAATTCTTTGTATGCTACTTTACTTCTAGCATCAACCCATAACACATTTGTTAGACTTCCATCATCATCAAAATCATAAGCATAAAAGAAGTCTTCACTTTCATTTTTCATATTCTCAAATAACTTCAGCATCGCACATTCGCACTAGCATCCCTGCACCTAACCTCAAATTTCTTCCATTTTGTACATGTCTCCTACAATCACTTGCCAAACAACCCATATTCCCGTATCCACCCTCTTCTATAGCAATAGATCATACACTTTTTGTCAATCGAATGCCTGGAGAATCATTAAGCTCAAGATACCTCTGGACTGCAACACTTAAGCTTCTATGTAGCCGAAAAAATCGAGACTTTGAAGGTGTCATGCCAGGGTTATGTTGGTCAACAAACTTGGTTATCTTCCACACACCATCTTGCATCTTCGCACAACAAACTAGAGCTCCACATTCAATTCGATGACTAGGTTTTGATTTGAGAGGATTCTTTGCCTTATTAGATGGCTTCCTAGCCCTATGACAACAAAATCTACAATTTGCAGTCTCTCCATTCTTATTTTTTTTGGGTTGCTACCTTTGTTGCTGGAAATCCTTTTGCTTTGGCATAACCTTGATATAACTCAAAGATTTCATCAGCTTAAAAATAAAAGTATAGAACACACCCAACACTGGTACCCACTTCCATTCACTTCTATTACAACCATTCTGCTCGGGTGATTGAATAGTATTACCTTGATCATTGATTTCATCATCTTCAACCATGATTGTATCTTGTTCCATACTTCTAGCTTCTTTCACTTCAATTGAATTTTTAGCTTTTTGGGTTTCAAAACAAGCAACTAGTTAGATTTTAGGGTTCCTTCAATAGTGTAAAAAAATACAACAACAAGAAGAAACAAACTTACATATTAGAGAGGTGGTGTGAATGAAGGAATATCTTCACCATCGATGGTGGAATCCGGCCGTCACCGATGGAGCCCGACCGTCTATGGGAAGGAGCAACTTTCTTCTCTTAAGAAAAAAAGAGACAAAAAATATTACATGGAGAAGGGGCTGGAATTAAGGCTTACTGGAAAGCATTCGGGTGGACAATCATAAGGTTGTGATGAGAAGCATAGCTCTGTAAAAAAAAGCCGAAGTATGGTGGGTGCCTTCGTGGGGAAGAAGGGGAAAGGAAACATCTGAAGAAACAGGGGAAGGCTTTTACGGTTGCTTTATTAATTGTAAAACGACGTTACTTTTGTCTTCTCTTTTCTTTTAAATATCTTGTATCCCTTATCTCCCATGAGATATTGGATTCCACTAAAAGAGTTTCAATTTTGTAATATTAAATCATTAGGCGTTGGTGGCACATTAGGTGCTTAGATACATCTCTCATTAGATAAATCGTGGGTCCGGATAGAATAACAACACCATTGGTGTTGTTATAGTAACAACACGATTCATTAAGGGTATAAGGGTAAATTACTCAAAAACTAATAAACTAAAAATTAAATCAAATAGCTATCTTGGCTCGCGTGTTGTCTCCCTCCCCAAGAACAGCTGCTCCTCGATCTGTATTCCATCCTCTCCGACAATCATTTCTTTCTCTCCGACGATAAAATCTCTCCATCTCTTCTCTTTCACCGAAGTGTTGGCAGACTGATTCCAACTCGATCGCTTTGATTCTTCCATCATCATTCTTCCTCGACACAAGAACAACGGCGACGGACTGTAGAGGAACTCGACTCCATCATCGAGAAAATCAAAACTGGAGGGACGGGGAGAAATCAGACTCCCAAATTTCAATGCTGCTACTCTCCAGATCAATGGTACTCTTTCCCCTCCTGCTCTGTCACAACTCATGACTCGTTTCTCACTCGCTCTCCTTTTCATGCATATCTGCCGCTCTTTCTCCCTCCTAGAGCTTCGCGACCCTAATGGCGCCGGCTCGACTTCATCGAGGCTCCCAAGCTGCCCCGCTGTGACTCATATCTCTCTAGTTGTCCCTGTCCTGCAACTCCGCCGCTCTTCCCCTCCTAGTGATTCTCTACCATGGCGGCACCGACTGTGGACGAGTTCGTCAAGGGGAAATTCATTATGAAGGCTTTCCATGAAGTACTTCTCCCTGTTCAATTTGTTGTTTCTATTTACGAATTGAGTGAGCAGTGGATAGATTAACTGATCCAGTATGATTTCAAAAGCTTTCTTAGGTCGAGTTGTAATTGTGCAGCTCCTTCGAAGAGCAATTTGTCATGTTTTTTTCAATTTGTTGTTTTTCATTACTAATTGAGTGGCCACTAGTTTTTTGTGATTTTTTGTCAAGTTTGAAGATGCTATCTTAATTTGTGGGACATTAGTGCATTGCATTTAAATCTCTTTCTAATCTCAAAAGTTTCTTAATCCATATCACAGACCTCTTAAATTAGACCTGAAACTCCACAAAACATACTATAAACCCCCTAATGCACATAAAAACACGGTAAAGCAAACCACAAAAAACATACTAGAAACCTCTCAATGCATACACCAATAGCCTAAAACGGACCGGAAACTCCACAAAGCAAACCACAATGACTTCATTAGGACATCAAAAACCTCCTAATGCAGATCACAAACGTGATAAAACAAACCACCAAAAGCATACCAGAAAAATCGTAATGCAAACCATAAATCCCCTAAAACATACCAGAAACCCCACTAAGCAAACCACATAATTTTCAAAAGGATTATAGGTATAATATGCCCCTCAACTATGACGTTTTATCAAACATGCCCCTCTATTATTTTTTACATCAAACATGCCCCTATAATTTGGAAAAACTATCAAACATGCCCTTCAGTTGAAATTTCCATTGAAAAAAATCGCCAATCATGGTTGAACCGAGATTTAGACGACCTTACATCGATAAATGGGAGGGGAAATGTCAGTTTTGACCCTTGTTTTATTTCTCTAGGTCTCGTCAAAGTGAAATTATTATAATTATTTGGCTATACAAAATAACAAAAAAAACTCTAAAGTGAAATTATTAGGGATATTTTAGATATTTGGGTCCCCCAAACCAAATTTTGGTCTTGGTTAACGGTTTTTTTACGTAAATTTTAACAAAAGGGCATGTTTGATAAGTTTTCCAAAGTACAGGGGCATGTTTGATGTAAAAAATAGTAGAGGGGCATGTTTGATAAAACATCATAGTAGAGGGACATATTATACCTATAACCCTTTTCAAAAGCACCCAGAAACCACATAATGCAAACCAGAAATGCCCTAATGCAAACCACAAATATATTAAAACAAACCAGAAACTCCGCAAAGCAAACCACAAAATTTTTGAAAGCATACCAGAACTTCTTAATGCAAACCAGAAACACAATAAAGCAAACCACAAAGGCATAACAAAAACGTGAGAAACCAAACCATAATTCTCGCAATGGAGACCATAACATCCAGTGATCGTTGTCCGTTAACCAAACTCGGATGACTGTCGGTGACCGAAGTCTGACACCGATAAACATATTCTGGCTCCGATGACTAGATTCCGACGCCGGTAAGCATATTCCGACCACGGTGATCGGATTTCGACGGCGGTGAGCATATTCTGACGACGCTGAGCATATTCTGGCCACAGTGGGAGGATTCCGGCGATAAAAAGTATATTCCGGTGACCGACCACGGTGATTGGATTTCGATGGCGGTGAGCATATTCTGACAACGCTGAGCATATTTCGGCCACAGTGGGAGGATTCCGGCGACAAAAAGTATATTCCGGTGACCGACGGTCGAATTCCAGGGACCGAAATTTTGGGCAGAAAATAAAAAATATTTTAGAATTAATTTTTTATCATTAATTATTATTTATTATTTAAACATAATTTTCATAATAACAATTATGCCCTTTCTTTTTACACTAGATCAACCTAACTAATAAAAAGTCATCACAATCCTATTTTCCGAATTAATTGGACACTATTATTGTTACAATAACAATACAAGATATATTGTCACCCTATCTAGTCCCTTACGCCCAGTTTCGAGAAAGTAGGCCATCCAAAAATAAAATTTTAGGATAAATACTAAATTATGTGGTAAGTTGGTATAGTTCCCACACACGATTAGCACATGAGAAACGCATCACTATAGCACCCATCAGTCCATCACTCGTGTATATATAGAGGAAAGCCAGTCGCACGTACCAGAAGTTTACAAAAGAAAAGCTGGTTTGTCACATGATGTAATCAAGCTCTTGGATCGAGTCCTACAATCTTACATATAAAAGAAAACCCATGCTGAAGAAGAGAAGAAGGGGAAAAAGCACACCTAGCTAATAATAAAGCTCCTTTCCATAAAGAGGCACTACTAGGAGGTTCCGCCGTCACGATAACAACTTAGCTACTTGTTTCTGTAGTTTCATCCTAGCTACTAAAATACATAAAGATCTATCTATCTAATATCTATCTATCTAAGCTTCTGTGAATTGTGACAGATGATCATAAACTAAAAGCTCCAAGGGAAGTTGTGGTCTTGGAAGCTACCATCCAAAATGCTACAACTACTGAAGCAGCTGTCTCCATTAACTCCCATCCCCTGCCGCCACCCAAACCCACCGTTCAAATCATTGAGCTCTATAAAATCATTACTGAACTCCAACCAATCCACCAACCCTTCCCCTCCACCAACCGCCAACCCAGATGAGTTACTATTAGAATCACAAAACTGATCTCCTCTTCCCTGCATCAGTACTACTTTCTCATCATCATGCTTCCCTCCTCCAGAACCAGCTGGAGGAGGGCCTTCTGACGCCACCTCCGCCGTCGCGGTGATTGGCCTTGGTGGTGGTGGAGGTGATGGTGCAGAGGATGAAGAAGAAGAAGAAGAAGGCAGGTTGAGGGTGGCGGAAGGGCCGTAGAGGGTGACGGCGGCTTCATCGTACGCTCTAGCTGCTTCCAAAGAGGTGTCAAAAGTGCCTAGCCATATTCTGCTGCCTAGGCTGGGTTCTCTGATCTCAGCCACCCATTTCCCCCATGTCCTCTGCCTCACTCCCCTGTATTTGCACTGCGCGTTCTCCGGGCCTCCTTTCCCTCTCATGCACCCTTTCCTCGACCTCCCCATCGACGAAGACGACGACGATTTCTTTGCCGCCTTGTTGATGCTTCCAGCTTCCTTCTCCATGATGAAGGGCTATAAATATGCTGTGATAAAAGGTTGTGAAATTAAACTAGCTGCTGGAAAAACCATTGGTGTCTAGCAGCTAGCTAGCTGTTCTGTTGCTGCCATATTAAGGTTTGCTTCTTTTCGAGGGCGGTTGAGATGGTATATGAAATTAAGTATGGAAAACAGTCTTAAAAAGGATAGCCATGCCATGTAAGCAGGGGTTTTCAAAGTTTCTTGGGGTGTTTCATGGAACGGTGAAGTGGGTTGTTGGCACGTGTGCAAGCGTCATCACCTGGGGGATGGGATGGCATGGCATTTGGAGTGGATGGACAAGTAGCTACGGCACCTGTCAACTCAACATTAGGTTTTTCAGATAACTGATGTCACGCTAAACTTAGACCGGCTTGTTCAGTTTTTGTTAAGGCGGGCTATTTGATTCTGGTTTTTAGGTTTTACTCGAAATCGGATCGTATAATCCGAATCGAGATCAGAGCGGGTAGTAGCGGATTCAAGAATTCTACGTAGGGGTGTCTTCTATAAAAAATTAAATTAAACTAAATATTAAAATTAAATTAAATAATTATTAAATATGAAAATATCTAACTAATAAAAGTTTCATTAAAAGTTCAGACGTGTTTCATCAAATGATAAAATGCATTCGGTGTTTATACTGCTCAACAAATATCTCTCGACATATCTTACTAGACAAGAATATCCTGTAATTGAGTTTAATCGTTAGGTTTTGAAAATAATTTAAGATAAGAATAACATTTTACTATTATATTTGGATCTAAAACACAATAACAAATGAGTTGTAGCATAATTGAAAATATATTAATTAATAGTGGCAGTGTCCCAAATTTAAATTACATAAACTACTACTTAAATATTATTTATACCAATACGCAAACTACTACGGAAGATTGGATAATCATTTTCCCAAATTTTAAAGGTGTCCCACTACCACTAAACATTTTTTTTTTCTCATACACAAAGTACTATCGTAGGTTGAATAATCGTGTTTCCAAATTTTAAAGGTGTCCCGGGACACCCCTAACCATGCATGTATCCGCCACTGAGAGCGGGACCAGATAGTAAATAATTCAATTTTTGAGTTTAGATTTGAGGTAAAAAAAATCGTTCGGGACCAGATCGAAAATTGGATAAAGACTGGATAACAGAGCTCAACACCCAAAACTTAAGGGTAATTTGCATAGACGGTCACACACTTTTGCACTTAGTACAAAACTTAACCAACTCCTCACCCTTTCAGGTCTTAGGCCACTCAAATCCCCACAAGCTCAATATAAAATCAAGTCCAAATTGAGACCGGACCGGATCAAGACCAAACTGTATACAATCCAATCTTTGATCCTTATATTTTCAAAAAGACCGGACTAAACCGAATCAATTAGGACCAATTTAACTGGATCGGACCGTATAGCCACCCTAGTTTTTGTGATATCCTTCTCTCGCATATTGTAGTTAGGAGTAAGATTTCTTAACCGGACCGTAAACCACGAAAACTTAGACAGCCATTCCCCTCTAAAATCGAAAGCCAACAGTGAAGGAGTTTTACCGTTTTTGAAACCAAAACCTCTATGATCTACCGTTTTTTAAACCAAAACCTCCATAATCAATATTGAGACACGATTATCTCTACTCTCTGGTTAAATACAAGGACCAGGAAACCGTACCGGACCGGCCGGTCGGACCGGGAAAACCGGAAACCGGTGGTAAAACGGCACAATAGGGGCTGTGTACCCTTCAAAATCCTGCCGGGCGATATTTGCGGTAGGACCGCAATGGGCCGAAATTTCGGCCGGTTTTATTAAAACCGGCGGTCCCTTCATTTTACTCAAACAGCGCCGGATCAAGATCTGGTCCTCCGGCGTCGACCCCATCAGCTTCGCCGCCGTCTCGGCTCCGTGGGTGAAGGTGTAAATCTCCCTCATGCTGAACACCATCAGGGTCCCGCTCGTGATCGCGATTGCGGAGTGGAGCAGGCAGATCAGCCTGAACGCCAGCAGCGGCGGCGACGGCGGCTGCGGTGATGGCGACATTCGAAGGAGAAGAAGAAGAAAGAAGAAGAAAGGACGAAACGTTTCTTTTTCTTGCGATTCCGATTACAGCTCCTTTTTTTCTGCGAGAAGATTGCGAGCGGAGATTTCGGGAGGGAGGGATTGTGATTGGGTTTTTCTTTGATGGGTTGGTGTGAGCTGGTAATGGTATGGGTGAAGAGATGAAGAGAATTGAAAACGGTGCGGGCGAGTCGAGTTAAGGAGGGGAGCGGGGCTGAGCGAGTTAGAGAAGGAAGTGGACTCGGGGGATTCCATTTTGCCTCATGATTCGTCTTGCGGGGGGTTAATTACAGGAATGGTCATTAAGATTTGGATTCACTAACGATTTGGTCACACACATTTTGATTCTAAATAAATTGTCGTTAGAGATTCTTTCTTCCTGCAATTAAACGTTTTGAGCTTATATTACGAATAAGTAGTTTCTAACAAAAGATCCAATTAGTAGTTTCTACTTTCTAGTTTGAGACATTGAACTTGTGGTTTGTGAACATTAAAGTTTAAACTTGTGGTTTGTGAACATTAAGCTTGTGGTTTTGTACTAGTTTCTAAAAATGTATTTGGATGATTATGAGGTTTATTAGGTATTGAAATCTCACACTTTTGTTGAATGTTACCTAAGCTTATTTACTCTTTTACAGTTTCTTAGGCGGTATAATCCGGTTTTATTCCGGTATTTTCCCGGTATGGTACCCTAATTTTGTCGGTACGGTTTTTTAACAAAAAAATAATTTTTTTATTCTAAAAACGGTATTTACCGGTAGGAAACGGTTGAACCATGGTTGTACCACGATTTACCATGCCAAAAACGATTCCGGTTTGATGTCCGGTACGGTTTCGTAATCCTTGGTTAAATATAGTTGTAAATGAAGGAGGGACGAGATTCACAAAATTAAGGTTGAGACTTGGGTGTCGTTGTGAGAGTTGGGAGAATGGTCGAATGGGCTGTTAACACGTATTGACAAGTTGATTTGGTCCGGTAAACCGCAGTCTAGACCAGACCAGGAGATCGAAACATAAAATAATACAGACCATGGACCAGACCAGACCATACTTAACGGTCTACGATCCGGACCAAACTGTGCGGTACGGTTTGGACCACGATTTTTCTAACGGTCAGGTCTATTTTCCCAGCCCTATGCTAAACCATTCAGTTATAGGCTAATTAAACAGAAAAACAAACACAAACTGACAGCCCTAATTGTAACGTTAGTTGAATTGCGATGATGGTCCTTCTTATTTGTACCGGTAGCTTCTCGTTCTATCAGTTCGGAAACATTGTAAATGGAAACCATCTATCTACACATGGGAAATGATCGATTCAGCCTTCTAGGACTGACAACCAGAGAGTGGCATTGGGTAGCAAGTTGAACAACTTCTCGAAATTCGACGAATAAAATCGGCCAACTTTTCTAGCAGCTTTCTAACAGTGACCGTGTACTAATAAATATACCCTTAATCCAGGAAGGAAGCTACACAAATTATTCAAACAGACAGACAACGGTGCTGTGATAGGCCCAGGAGCTTCACCTCTCTGCAAGCAAAATGCAGATGGGGGGACAAGTATTGAAGGCACTTTGTGCTTGAACTGTTGAACAAAAGCCGTCACATACTCTCCACCGCAAATTCATTGTGATGTTTGATTTTGTTTCGATGATCCTATTCCATGGCGCTTGAAGAACTCTCTGAATCCATAAGGGCTGACATCGTAGTTGAACTAGATGACATGAAATCCATACGTGAGACAATCTGTTAGAAGTAAAAGCAGCACTATAAGAAATGGTAACAAGATTTGCAACTCACAGGTAGAACTTTAACAGCATATTTGGTGATACCAGGATCCACAGCCTTTCCCTGGTTAGCTGTCTGAAAGGCAATAAGATATTTTCCAGTAAGTAGTGTTTGTGGGGACATGGTAGCAGTATACAACTCAATGATATATTAGCAAACTATGCAGGAAAGAGAAGATAGATGGTAATATCAAGCGCCTGGTGCTACTGCAAAGGAAAGAAGTACACGGGAACTTGAGCAAGATGAATGTTCCGGTCTTCAAGAAGCAGATGGCTACATAATTGTATAGTGATACTTGGTCTGAAAATTATGGATACAGAAGCATACTTGTTCTGGACTATGGAAGATTTCAATGAACGGGTATTCCTTCTTCTGCCGTGTTATGCAGAACCCAGGATACTTCGGACATTCAACCTGAGACGAAGCAAGAGAACTGATCATACCTAATGAAATTGTAATGAGCAGCCTGTGGGTGAGTTCATAAAGAACATCATGGACCTCTGCAGAATATTCAAAGGCAAATCAACTCTTAAAACATAACCATTCATTTCGTAAGGCTCTGCATCTTCCATAGCCATAAACATACATAGAACAACATAACACAATTTCAAGTTCATATGCTACACGCCACCAAAGATTTGCACTTTCTCTATGCGAAGCCATTAGAGACATTCAGAGCTAGGATACAATAATGCTCATCAGCATTCCTTCAATGAATCATTGAAACAGGATCCATAACCATACCAACCTAAATTCCTAATTCAAGGATAATGGTGGACCTTTTTGCACTCAGTTGACTGAAGGGCTAATACATGTTATATACAGAGCAGAAACCACTTACACGCATGAATTTAACACCAGGATAAAACTCAGCAGCAGCTTCCTCAAGTACTTTGTCTAGATGTCTTGTGTAATTACCTCTACGGCATGGGAAGTTAAATGTCAGATGAAGATTGCTGAAACAATGAAACACATGAAGGTTTCAACTCTTTACTCCCCAAGGCTCACCTGATACTAAAAGCAACTACCATTGGGTAACCTTCATGGAGAAGCTTGACGAATTCACGTTCTGATGTGAAATGAATGACGCGTGAGGGGCCAAGATCTTTTGGATATCCAGTGTAATACCTAATTTCACATGAAGATATATTATGTAAGAATATGCTAGAACGACCAAATATATATTTGCAAATGAGTTCCAAGGAATGTTTCCCACACAATATCTCCAAGCTTACTTGCAAGTACATCGTAGCTGACCGAGCATTCGATCTAAAAATGGCTGCTGCTCCATTTGGTTCAGTAATGCACCAATCTGATTCCTTTAGTTATCCTGAAAGAAGTATACAATTGCCAAAACAGTAAAAATGGGGTAAACCAAAAGAAGCACTCAAAACCACAATAACAACTCCATAGCTCCAACTGTACAAGTTCAAACCATTCCTTTTTTCCCCCCTTCAAGCCTCCATGTTCTCCTCAATCATGCAAACTCAAGAAAGCAATGAAGGTGTAGACATGAAACGCTGGGGAGGACTGATAAAAGGAGAGAAGGGGGGACAAAACCAGAACCAAACGTAGCACTCGCTAGTAAATCCACTCAAGCATTTCAACGAACACCTACAATGCTTTCCAACACCCTCATGATGTGTCATCACAATGGCGGCGGCAGCAAGGAATAGAGAGAATAAAAGACAACCAGCATAGTGGCTCGCAAGGCAACATGACAACAAGTGCAGAGCAAAACAATTGAAACATGACAAGGACCAATTTACTGCTCCAGCAGTGCATCGCTAACAATGTTTACTGTCAAAGAATTAAATTCTAGGCCTAATCCAGCACTCGAAATGCATAAAGAGCATTTGGAGAGCAGAACCTAATAAACAAACTTATGGAGTTATGGTAAGTTACACGTTTTGTCTTCACTAATGATTTGAAACACGGACTCAAGATAAAGAGGTTGGCTTTTGGGAGAGTTATTAGAGGTCTCAGCAACGACAGAGATTGGAGGCTACTGTTAGAGGAAACATAGCTGAAGCCTAGTACCAGTCCATAACAACAGAAACCTGGATGACGGACAAGGCTAAGTCCAGTTTACGAACCAACATTCACAATCACTCTCAGCCCATGAAAACCTGTGCAAGGAACCGGGAAAATCAAGCTAAAAATGGCATGGTAGGCCAGCAAACAAAGAAGTAAGGCGGAAACCTACTCGATTAAGAAAATATGGGCTCTGCTTCTTTACATAGCGTTGATTAGAAACTAGTTGGGTGTCCGGCCCGTTGGCCGAATTATCGAAATTTAAACTTAATGTATTTATGATTTGCTTGATAACTTATCTCATTGTATGAGATTGAGATAGTGGCTAATTCGATGTAAACGTGGTAAAAAAATGCAATATAACATTAATTTCATGCATCATAGAGACATCACTGATACAATACTACTCAAGCAATTTGAATTCTTAAATCTATCAGTAGACATTGGTCAGAAAATTCATCTCTACGATGCATTATGCTTAAAGGTAATTTATCATTAGTGTTTCTTTAAGAATTTCATCCCAAAACACCAACGAATCTGCAGACTTCCTTTCACCAAAAGAAGCCAAGTTTGAAGCATAACTGGAGGAACCATAAGTATTGTGCTCAAAGTCAAGTTCAAAAATGACTCAAAATGTAGAAAAGGATCAAGAATCACTTAACCGCCTAGGGGAGTGGAGATGTTAATTTGGATGTTCAAATTTGCAACAACTAAAACACTGTAGAACGGCTCAATAGCAGTAGGGATCAAGGTTCAAAAAGACGCTAGACGTAAGGCGAGCACTATAGGCGTGCCTAGGTGTTAGAGTTAAAATGGAAAATAATCTCAAATATTTTTTTATTTCTAGAATATTTCATATGATCACAAGTTCATATAAATTAGAAACAGCTAATTTTTAATGGTTTAACCTAGCAAATAACAAGCAAGTAGTGACTATTTACTAGAATCGCACGTTTATAAAATGTCAAAAGCAATGGAATGGAGAAAATGGTCTCCGTGATGGAATTCCATAAGCTATCCAGACCATAACTAATCAAATAATAGAGATTAGAAGCACTTCACAAGGGAAAAAAGACTAACATTGCAATTCCATATGTACAATTTGTACAAGTAGAATTCTAGAAAGATACCGAGTTGCTTAAAAGAGCAATTCGATAAACAGCAGCGGAGAACAAAAAATAATCGAGAGTCTAGATCAGAACTAATAACGGCACCTATGGTGCGGCGAGCTTCTCCCTGCGGCGACGAGCGACGGGCTTCCTCCTGCTGCGGCCGAGCTGTTGGCTTCTTCCTGCGGTGGCCAACTGGTGAGCAATAGAAGGATCGATTAGCAGCTACGGCATCCGAGCAGGTGAGAAGGAAGGGCTTCTAGTTCCAAGTTCTAACCTAAAGTCTCTTTTGAGGGGAAGTTCTAACCTAAAGTCGAATGATAGAGAAAGAGGTGATTTTGCTGCGTTATGATCTGGTACTCTCGCCAAATTCCCAAAATACAGGGAGGGGAGAACAGCGACCAAAACGGAGAGTGGAGACAGCGGCCAAAACGCAAAAACGTCAAAGTTCTTTGGCCAGCGCCTAGGCCCTCTTCATCTCGCCTAGGCCCGCTTAATCCAGAATTAGGCGGCATCAAGGTTCTCAAACCGGTTTGACAGGGGTTTGAGGTTTAATGATCGAAACGGGGTTCAACTGGATTAAACTGGTTTTGATAAAATATATAAGTAGTTAATATTTAATGATCGAACCATCGGAAGAACCATTAAACTAGACTACCACACTCTTACCCAGGAAAGAGCCAAATTTGCACGCCTAGCGGTTGAAGTCGACCTCTCAAAGCCTCTAGTACCCCGTATTTGGTTGGACGACGAATGGCAGAAAGTGGAGTATGAGAACCTACCGGAAGTGTGTTTCAATTGTGGAAAAATTGGGCATGCTCGGAATGCTTGCCCGAAGCTACAACCAGAGGCAATTTTGGCATTAAAGGCGATCGGAGAAAAGTCTCCGTTGCAACACACGGCAGCATCACCGGGAAACGTGTGCTCATCTCCGCCGGCGGACAGCAATCCCGGATTTGGGCCGTGGATGTTGGTGACGAGGAAGAGTCGGCGAAATTCCAGGGAAATCGGGCGAAAAGGGAAGACGGAGAGTGATTTGGGGAATCAAAATAAGGCAGCTACTAGGCAATCGGGGAAAGGTGGCATGCCCATGGAAGAAATTCCTCAGGATTCACCTACCTAGAAGATTCCCAACGGCCCATTACCCCATGTGGAGCCAAACCCAGAAAGGAAAGGCGCGAACGGCAGGAATGGGAACATGGAGAACAGACGCGACAAGGAGAAGGTGGAGAATGTGATTGCAGATAAGGGCAAGGGGGCCCTTGGGACGAGGCCCACTTCCCAAAAGGCCGACAGCTCTGGACTAGGGCCTGTTTCAAAAACTAACGAGGCCTCTACCTCGGACCAATCGGCGGCCCATCGGAAATTGTCTCTGACCGCCACAAGCCCAGGCTCACCAGTCTTGAGGGAATCGGCAGCCCAGCTCCCTTCACCACCCTCGGTCCGCACCGTCACGGTGGCAAACGGCACCGTAATGAAAATAGTGGAGACTCCCCCGATGCAGAGCAGCACCGCCGACGGGAAAAATCAGTCTTCTCCTTCGGTGGCCGCAAGAACCAAGCGGAGCAAGGGGAAGAAAGCTGCAGGGAAAAAGTCACCAGCTAAGCTTAATACTATGAAACCTCTTCAGATTTGGTCCCCAATGAAGGAGAAGAAGCCAAAATCAAAGTCTCGCATTGCTACGCTGACTCTTCAGGAAATCAGTGCGTGGACGGAAGCCGCAAAAGGATCGACTGGGAACAAAGGGGAGAAGGCAATTATCATGCCAACCAGCTCTCCCGCGACCACCGATAGCCCCAACAACACTCTGCATTCCCAATTCTGATGCTCTCTTCATCAGATTGCCTTTCTTGTCTCTTCTCTTCTTCATCATTTTCCCATGACTTTTAACCTTAAAATCTTTGCTTGGAATGTTGGTGGCGCAGGTAGTAGAGCTTTTAAGCGAGCCCTGAAGTTGACGATTCTCGAACATCGCCCGGATTTTTTTGTTCTGCTCGAACCCCAAATCAGCGGCGACTCCGCCAACACGGTCTGCGACAAGCTGGGGTTCCCGAACTCGATGCGGGTAGAGGCGGAGGGGAGAAAGGGCGGCGTGTGGCTATTCTGGGATGAGCAGGTCTTCTCTACGCAACTTTACTCAGCCTGTAGCCACCATATCTCCCTTCGTGTGTCTCGCGCCAATGAGTCACCCTGGTTTTTGACCGCCGTGTATGCTTCCCCTCGGCCCAGCGAGCAAAAACTTTTGTGGAACAGTTTGATTGCTCAAAGCAAGTGTATTGATGCCCCATGGCTGCTCACTGGGGACTTTAATGCCATTAGTTCCCCGGATGAGAGGTATGGGCTGCCGGTGAGGAACACCTTACGGCGTTGCGAGCTCTTCAATGATTGGATGAATATGGCCGAGCTTGTGGATCTTGGTTACTCGGGACCAAAATTTACCTGGTCAAGGGGAGATGGCTACCAGACCTACAAAGCCAGCCGGCTTGACAGGAGCCTGTGCAATCTGAGGTGGAACTCGGCCTTCCCAACCACTTCGGTGCTGCACCTTCCCCGGCTACAGTCAGATCACAACCCGATTCTTACCTCGGTCGTGGCAAACCAGGGGCAGCAGACGGGTTCGAGACCTTTCAAGTTCGAAGCAGCTTGGTTCACTAACGAGGGTCTACAGGGCCTGATTGCCGACTCATGGGATACGCTGTCTCCGCTGCAAGACGCGCTCTCCACCTTGGCCGGTAAGCTCGCAGAGTGGAATGTCAATGTTTTTGGGAGTGTCAACTTGAAGAAGAAGAGACTCATGGCTCGGCTAAAGGGGATTGAGGCAAGACTTGCCTGCAGTTTTGCTCCTGGTTTAGCAAAGCTTCATAGTAAGCTGGAAGCAGAGCTGGATAAGGTCCTGGAACAAGAGGAACTGATTTGGTATCAGAGATCGCGTGATAAATGGGTGAAGTATGGAGAGCGCAACATGGCATACTTCCACCAGCAGGTGAACATCAGGAGAAGGTTCAACAGGATCGAGGCTCTACAAGACGAAAATGGGAATTGGGTAACAGATCCTCATGAACTTGCCTCTCTGGTGTTTGATTTTTACACTAACATTTACCTGCAGGACAACTCCATCTATGAAGACAGGTTGCCCAAGAATGTTTTTCCCCGTTTGGCACAAGCAGAGGCGGCAGCCGCGTTCAGACCTTTCAGCATCATGGATATCCATAGAGCCATCTTCGACATGAAACCATTTCAGGCTCCGGGGCCGAATGGATACCACGCGGCCTTCTATCAGCAGTTCTGGGAAGTGGTAGGGAAGTCGCTCTCGGACATGGCTCTATCTTTCTTCACGGTAGGCTCCCTTCCGGAGGCGGTTACCGAATCCACTCTAGTTCTTATCCCGAAAGTGGAGTCTCCAGAGAAAGCAAGCCAGCTCCGGCATATCTCTCTCAACAACGTCTGCCTTAAGAGCATTACTAAAGCCATGACCAGTAGGCTAAAGCCTATCATGAAGAAGCTGGTTTCTCCCAGGCAGAGTAGTTTCATCCCCGGAAGGCAGATGACCGACAATATCATTGTGGTGCAGGAGGTGCTACATTCTCTCAGAAAGAGGAAAGGTAAAAAGGGGGGCCTTGTTTTCAAGATTGACCTGGAGAAGGCCTACGACATGCTCAGGTGGGACTTTCTGCGTGATACCCTTAAGGAAGTTGGACTGCCGAGCTCCTGGATCAGCGGCATCATGTACTGCGTGGAGCATAACAGGATGAGAATCAGATGGAATGGCAAGCTATCCCAGCCATTCACCCCTTCACGTGGAGTCAGACAGGGAGACCCTCTCTCGCCCTATCTTTTTATTTTATGCATGGAGAGATTGTCCCACAGAATTGACCAGGCGGTAACAGATGGACAGTGGATGCCTTTAAGGCTCACTAACTCCAGCCCGCCCTTGACTCATCTTTTCTTTACAGATGATCTTCTCCTTTTTGTAGAGGCAGGGAGGAAGCAAATCCAAGTGGTGAAGAATTGCCTGGCCTATTTCTGCTCTAGCTCAGGGCAGAGGGTGAACTACAACAAGTCCATTATGTTTGTATCTCCAAATGTACCCAGGCGCAGAGCTGAGGAGTTGAGTGCGCGTGCAGGGATTCCGTTGAAAGCAGCTTTGGGGAGGTATCTCGGGATACAGGCGATTCAAGAGCGGGTTACGAAGGGGAGATATCAGTCCCTCTTGCTTCGGATCCAGAAGAAGATGGCACCGTGGAAAGCCAAACGGCTCTCCTTTGCTGCTCGTCTTACCGTGGCTAAATCGGTTACTGCCTCCTTACCTGTTTACACCATGAATACAGAATTAATTCCTAGTGGTGTTTGTAGGAGCATTGACAAGATCAGCAGAGACTTTGTTTGGGGAGACGAGGAGAACCATTCTAAGGTGCATTTGGTCGCGTAGGATAGACTCACGCCACCCAAAGTACAAGGAGGCATAGGGCTCAGACCAACGAGACAAGCGAATCTTGCCATGCTCGCAAAAAGTGGGTGGCGGTTGATTCAAGAAAAGGAGACCTTGTGGGCCCAGCTCCTCACCTCGAAATACGGAGGGCGCCGGCAGGGACTCGAGTTACTGCAGAAAGTTCAGGGAAGTTCCTTTACTTGGAACAACTTCTCTAAAGCTGCTGACTTGCTCAGGCAAGGCTGCGCGTGGAATATTAAGAATGGAAGAAAAACTAAATTTTGGTTGGACCCGTGGGTTTTGCAGGTACCGCTGAAGGAGAAGGTGGGTGATGTTATCCCGGAGGCTCTGGAGGAGGCTGTGGTGGCGGACTTAGTCCATGAAGATGGCAGCTGGCGTACAGAGTTGTTCAGTGATCTCCTCCCACCTGAGATCAACAATAAGATCCTAAGCACGGCAGTGGACAAGCCCTCGCGGGAAGATGACACAATCTTCTGGTCTGCTTCAACGGATGGGCGGTTCTCATGCAAGTCCGCTTATGGGCTTCTTAGGGGCGAATCTCAACAAGGCAACGATAGGATCTGGAAAGCCATCTGGCAGCTTCCAGTACCAGAGCGGGTGAGAGGTTTCGTTTGGCTGGTTATGCAAGGAAGGATCGCCACCAACTCTCTCCGGTTTCACAGGAAGATAGCTACGTCGGCCTCATGCCTTCGCTGTCCCGATAGGCCGGAAACGATCATTCACATCTTGAGGGATTGTGCCCCAGCGCTGTTCTTTTGGTCAAGACAGGTGGCTCAGCCTCGACAAAATGAGTTCTTCAGCAGCAGCCCGGAGGCCTGGCTAAGGAATAATCTCATAAGTAAGGAGGTCTCTCTTTCAGGTATCAGCTGGCCTGCTTTCTTTAGCATCTCCATTTGGCTTTTATGGAAGAATCGTACTACAGCCTCCTTCAAAGGAGTGAATGCAGCCTTGTCAGCACCG